TTTCATGGTAATTGTTCTGATGAGCTTTCCTCTTTCTACAGTCTTCACCTGGCATCTCGGCTTCAGTCAACTTCCCATCACCGTAATGTAGCTTCTCTCTGCCTTTTCAATAAATACTTTCATGGTAATTGTTCTGATGAGCTTTCCTCTTTGGTACAGTCTTCACCTGGCATCTCGGCTTCAAATGCTTTCCCATCACCGTAATGTAGCTTCTCTCTGCCTTTTCTATAAATACTTTCATGGTAATTGTTCTGATGAGCTTTCCTCTTTCGTACAGTCTTCACCTGGCATCTCGGCTTCAGTCCTTTCCCATCACCGTAATGTAGCTTCTCTGCCTTTTCAATAAATACTTTCATGGTAATTGTTCTGATGAGCTTTCCTTTTGGTACTGTCTTCACCTGGCATCTCGGCTTCACTCACTTTCCCATCACCGTAATGTAGCTTCTCTCTGCCTTTTCAATAAATACTTTCATGGTAATTGTTCTGATGAGCTTTCCTCTTTGGTACAGTCTTCACCTGGCATCTCGGCTTCACTCACTTTCCCATCACCGTAATGTAGCTTCTCTCTGCCTTTTCAATAAATACTTTCATGGTAATTGTTCTGATGAGCTTTCCTCTCTTTGGTACAGTCTTCACCTGGCATCTCGGCTTCACTCACTTTCCCATCACCGTAATGTAGCTTCTCTCTGCCTTTTTCAATAAATACTTTCATGGTAATTGTTCTGATGAGCTTTCCTCTTTGGTACAGTCTTCACCTGGCATCTCGGCTTCACTCTTTCCCATCACCGTAATGTAGCTTCTCTCTGCCTTTTCAATAAATACTTTCATGGTAATTGTTCTGATGAGCTTTCCTCTTTGGTACAGTCTTCACCTGGCATCTCGGCTTCACTCACTTTCCCATCACCGTAATGTAGCTTCTCTCTGCCTTTTCAATAAATACTTTCATGGTAATTGTTCTGATGAGCTTTCCTCTTTGGTACAGTCTTCACCTGGCATCTCGGCTTCACTCACTTTCCCATCACCGTAATGTAGCTTCTCTCTGCCTTTTCAATAAATACTTTCATGGTAATTGTTCTGATGAGCTTTCCTCTTTGGTACAGTCTTCACCTGGCATCTCGGCTTCAGTCACTTTCCCATCACCGTAATGTAGCTTCTCTCTGCCTTTTCAATAAATACTTTCATGGTAATTGTTCTGATGAGCTTTCCTCTTTGGTACAGTCTTCACCTGGCATCTCGGCTTCACTCACTTTCCCCATCACCGTAATGTAGCTTCTCTCTGCCTTTTCAATAAATACTTTCATGGTAATTGTTCTGATGAGCTTTCCTCTTTGGTACAGTCTTCACCTGGCATCTCGGCTTCACTCACTTTCCATCACCGTAATGTAGCTTCTCTCTGCCTTTTCAATAAATACTTTCATGGTAATTGTTCTGATGAGCTTTCCTCTTTGGTACAGTCTTCACCTGGCATCTCGGCTTCACTCACTTTCCCATCACCGTAATGTAGCTTCTCTCTGCCTTTTCAATAAATACTTTCATGGTAATTGTTCTGATGAGCTTTCCTCTTTGGTACAGTCTTCACCTGGCATCTCGGCTTCACTCACTTTCCCATCACCGTAATGTAGCTTCTCTCTGCCTTTTCAATAAATACTTTCATGGTAATTGTTCTGATGAGCTTTCCTCTTTGCACAGTCTTCACCTGGCATCTCGGCTTCACTCACTTTCCCATCACCGTAATGTAGCTTCTCTCTGCCTTTTCAATAAATACTTTCATGGTAATTGTTCTGATGAGCTTTCCTCTTTGGTACAGTCTTCACCTGGCATCTCGGCTTCACTCACTTTCCCATCACCGTAATGTAGCTTCTCTCTGCCTTTTCAATAAATACTTTCATGGTAATTGTTCTGATGAGCTTTCCTCTTTGGTACAGTCTTCCCTGGCATCTCGGCTTCAGTCACTTTCCCATCACCGTAATGTAGCTTCTCTCTGCCTTTTCAATAAATACTTTCATGGTAATTGTTCTGATGAGCTTTCCTCTTTGGTACAGTCTTCACCTGGCATCTCGGCTTCCTCACTTTCCCATCACCGTAATGTAGCTTCTCTCTGCCTTTTCAATAAATACTTTCATGGTAATTGTTCTGATGAGCTTTCCTCTTTGGTACAGTCTTGACCTATCATCTCGGCTTCACTCACTTTCCCATCCCCGTAATGTAGCTTCTCTGTGCCTTTTCTATAAATACTTTCATGGTAATTGTTCTGATGAGCTTTCCTCTTTGGTACAGTCTTGACCTGGCATCTCGGCTTCAGTCACTTTCCCATCACCGTAATGTAGCTTCTCTCTGCCTTTTCTATAAATACTTTCATGGTAATTGTTCTGATGAGCTTTCCTCTTTGGTACAGTCTTGACCTATCATCTCGGCTTCACTCACTTTCCCATCCCCGTAATGTAGCTTCTCTCTGCCTTTTCTATAAATACTTTCATGGTAATTGTTCTGATGAGCTTTCCTCTTTGGTACAGTCTTGACCTATCATCTCGGCTTCACTCACTTTCCCATCACCGTAATGTAGCTTCTCTCTGCCTTTTCTATAAATACTTTGATGGTAATTGTTCTGATGAGCTTTCCTCTTTGGTACAGTCTTGACCTGGCATCTCGGCTTCAGTCACTTTCCCATCACCGTAATGTAGCTTCTCTGTACCGTTTCTATATTTACTCTTCTGGTAATGGTTCAGACGATCCCATTACTTTTCTACTTAGATTTTATGAATTGTAGTTCCGTACTAGATTGGCGAGAGTTAAATTGTCTAGATATATCCCCAAGTTCTATGCTCACAGTTTATTTTTTCTCCTGTGAAATTCTCAGGTTCGATGCTTTCCAACCAACATTGATGTTCAAAAATGTCAATGCAATCGTTATCAACTGTCTTCTTGATTACTCCTCTACTGTTCTCGTTCATTAATAATTTCTCTGTTTTTTTCGAAGTCTTTCATACTGAGTAACCCTTTGTGTCTTTACTGCCTTGCATGAGGTGAAATAATATCTATCTATCTATCTATCTATCTATCTATCTATCTATCTATCTATCTCAGTCTGTTCATATATATCTATCTATCTATTTATCTATCTATCTCAGTCTGTTCATTATCTATCTATCTATCTCTGTATATATATATATATATATATATATATATATATATATATATATATATATATATATATATATAGCCTTTGTTACATATGGATGAGGCTATTATATTTGTATATATTAAAGAGTATGTTACGCATAGTGTTTGGTAGTTCTTGATGTGTATTTAAATGTGACCTGATTGATCTATGATCAGAGAGATGTAATTTAAGTCTTCTTGTTAAGCATGTTGTACTATATCCAGTATAATTATTTACTAACTTGAATTGGTCAGGTCAGGAATACAGTTCGTTAATGGTTACGCTGCTTCTAAAGTAATATTATTTCTCTGTAATTTAGGTCTTTCTGGTAAATTATTATTTTTGACAACGAGGTTAGCAGTTGTTTTTTTTTATAATAGGTAATTTAATTTTCTTGTTTTTTTGTCGACTGGATTTGTCTACTTGTGTATTACGTTTCTACTTGAAGATTCGTCTTGCTTATAAAAACTTAACCACAAGACGTTGTCAGTCGTTTTTAAAATAAAAAAAGTGATTGCTGCCCAAATACACAATTATTAAGTTATATGAACCGACAGCCAACAAATAATGTAAAACTACAACATTCAGGAAAATCCTTGTTTTACGACAAATAACAACAGTTAAAAATGAAATCCAACATTTAAATTATGAAATCTAAAAACATAATGCTATACTAAAAGATACCTTGACCGATCTCGAACCGTCCATATCAATCTAAATATTACTGAGGACGAAATTAAACGCAGACAAATAATTACAAAAAAAAAAACTTTGAAATTTATGCCAAGGAAATATTCTGCTTCGAAATAACAGGGATAAATGTATAAATCTAATCAGTCATAAACTAACAGATGATCAGAATGAATTCTTAAATCTAGGACCAAATTGGCATATCCAGTCTAAATTTGACTTCTTCAGAAAGAAGACTGAAATCGAAACTTAAACCAATAATTAGCCCACCTGCCAACTGATAAATTAATAAAATTCTATCCAAACCTGTGATAAGTTAGAAGGTCTAAAAGATCACACTCTTCGCAATAAAACTAAGAACTACTGCCACAGAATTAAAGAACAATCGTAATATCGTCATCAGAAGAACTGATATATCCAATTCACACGTCATTTTGGACAAATTACAGAACTTCATTGATGATCATTCTAAATTTACAAAATTAAATAAAAACACCACGGAGACTATGAAAATGTTACAAACACAGTACATCAAACAATGTTGATGTAGGATACTTGAAAATCAACAAACTTATTGGAGATTACCAATCAGGATACCTATACGAAAATATTAAAATACATAAATCCGGCCGGTCATCCCACTGCTGGACATGTAACGCTGTGGGGGCATCTATTTAATGCGTGTCTCGGGAAGAAACCAGCAGAAGAAACGCAGTCGGGATCACTAACGGAAAGAGTGAGGACAGAGAGATCTGACAGGCCACCCGAGATCCCCGGTGATTTGAGGGAGTTTGTAATAAGGGGGCCAAATGCTGCAACTCTTCCTGCTCAGCAGGATGTTCTCACAAGCCGGGAACATTTCTGCAACATCAACAGAATCAGCGGCAGCAGGAGCAGTGGCCACAGGAGAAGCAGTGATGGAAAGAACAGGAGCAGCGGCCTCGGCAAAAGCAACAAGTGCAGGGGTCTAAATAGAAGAAACTGCAGGGGCGGCGGCCACAACATCAAAAAAGCAGCGACCTCTCGACAGCAGTTGCAACAACTGTCGACACAGGTGCAGTTGAAATGTGATATGGCGGAGGAAATGCTTCCGCTTCGTTCCCCTTCCTTGAAAGGGGAAAGGAGGAGGAAGATGGCGAATAAAGAATAAAGTTTAAAAAGAAATAAAAGCCGACCGAAACAGGGCGGAATGAGCTTAACATATTTCGCCAGCCAAAAAAAAAAAAGACCAGAACAAAGGTAAGTGTAAGTTCTTCCCCACTTCCCCTGTTAGGGCTCAGCCAGTTTCCTTTTCTTCTACTTCCCAAACCATTCCAAACATAACAAAACGACACCCAATGAGGTGTCATTTGTTATATTGACTGACAGGTAGGCGTTATCACTTTCACAAGGAACAAACTGGCTTGGAATTTCCTGGCCGCCGCCAACGACTCTTTCCCCAAAATCAGGATGGCTTAATTTGAGTAATTTAAAAAAAAGTATGTTCTTTTAGTGTCCCGGTTTTGCTCCACCTTTCCTTCGGCGGGATTTTCGAGAAAGGACAGATTACGTCCGACTTAGGCCCAGGGAGCCTAGGACAGTACGTCGGTGTCTTAATCCGAGCAGTATGTGCATAAAATATCTTTAAGAAATGTCTATCAAGCTGGCATGCTTCAATGCGAAGGGCTTGAAGGATCAGAGTAAGACGACCCGCCTGCTTCGTGACCCCTTGTCGTTCAGCCTGGATGTGTTTCTTTGCTGGTGAAGTGTACCCTTGGTGCGAGGGTTAACCTTTTCCATGTCCATGCGTAGTGGAAGGGGGCAGTTGATCGTGGCCGATCTTGCCGTGAATAGTTCGTTCCGGGGCGTTGCGGTGTATCCACTCGACGACCGGACGGATCATGTCTTTTTTTTTTTTTCGTCAGCTGGGCCGTTCTTGGTGGATCCGTGCGCTTAGTCTAATTTGATAAGGTGGGGGGGGTCATGGAGCTAGCGGGAAAATGAACGATCATTGCCTTTTTGATCTGATCGGAGAATTAGGTCTTATCGATAGATACCGAGTCGATCACCCGAAGCGGGAGATATGGATGTGGGAATCTACCCAGCTGGATAGAATCTTAGTGAAAAGGGTCGATATCGTCCCACGTTCAACTGGTTAGGCTATTCGGGCCATAAAATTGTTTGTGCGCGAATGGCGTTAGACCCTAAATTGGCTCGACACTGAAAGTTCAACTCGTCCTTACTGGACAGGTGGGACTTCCGGCAATAGCTGACTTGTTTAGTGCAGTGGTAGTTAGTGGGGCAGTTACTAGGAATAAGTGTTCAGGGAGGTTTAAGTATAGGATTAGTTTTATAACCACCAACGATCGCTCCAGATACGGCTAAGAAGACGAAGTTAATTCGAGAGAGACTGACCCAGGCGGAGGTAGGGGGCGATTCCCTAGAGCTAGGCCTAGCTAACGTTTATTCTGATTTTTGGCTCCGTCATGCTGTTCAGAATGTTTAAGCATAGTGGGGGCATTTAGACGATTACAAGCCCATAACTCTACTAAACACAGAGATTTTCGACAAGATCCTGACGGTGTGTTTGCAGTAAGTTGATGAGATTTTGTTGGGACCGGAACAGAATTGTACTATGAAGAGCCGAACGGTTTGTCATCAATGTCGTCAGTTGCCGTCCCTATTTTACTGAGAATACCAGGGATAGAATATGTTAGTAATGAGGAAGCTTTAAGAAAAATGAAAACAAAAATGAAAACAAAAAAAGTCTCTTATAATTTGGATTAGAAAGAGACAGTGAAGATTTCTAGTACATATACTGAAGAAAGGGTGCTTAGTGAACTTGACAATTAAAAAAATATAAAGAAGACAAGGGGAACAAAGAGAAATAGCGAATAATTCATCTAACGAGCTTGTGTAAATCAATCGTAGGTCAAGGAATGGAAATGATTATAAAAAAGCAAATATTGTTAAGAGATACAAATAACAGAAGATGTGGAGAGCCTTCATCACTACATCCTGAACGGACACAGTACTTAAAAGAAGATCCTCTTTAGTTTCTCTGGACGTATTTACTTGCTCTTTCTTTCTTTCTTTTCTCTCTCTCTCTCTCTCTCTCTCTCTATATATATATATATATATATATATATATATATATATATATATATATCTTTCTTTCTCCCTTTCCCTGTGCATGTGGCATGTGAATGTGTGCGTGTGTACGTCCGTGTATGCAAACGATTGCATAAAAGTAAATCAATATACGTAGGTTTATTTTTGCTCACGTGCACACACACACACACACACACACACACATATATATATATATATATATATATATATATATATATATATATATATATATATATATATATATATGCACATAAAATAACCACTAGTACGGCCGCCACTACCATAAACACATCTTGCAATATGTTTCAACTAACGATTTCTTCCCTTCCGTGTCATGGCGGCGAAATTATGGTCGTACGAATTGCTGTCCCATTAACATCTGACCATTTATATTTTTCAACTTTCAGTTCCTCCGGCATCTTACCGTCATCCACTTTTGTAGAATGGTGAACTTGGGTCCGTCAAACGCTCCTAATCTATTTTCCTTTCTTCATCTGTCACAACCGACGTCCCGTCGCCACTTACGTGTTACCTTTACTTAATACTTGCTTTGTGGTAAAGGCGGGAGTCGGGAAGGCATGGTACTCTAAAAGAAGAAATGTTACGAACCAGTCAAAAGACGGAGGGCGATGATAGATTGCTAAAATGTTTAGATTAAATATATATATATATATATATATATATATATATATATATATATATATATATACGCACGCACGTGTCTGTGCGTGCGTGCGTGTGTGCGAGAGAATAAGTTAATAGATGAGCGAGAAGAAAAGTAAGAATTGTATATATATATATATGTGTGTGTGTGTGTGTGTGTGTGCACGCGCGCAAGGAGGATAAGTTGATTGAGGACCGAGAAGAAAAGTAAAAATAAAAACTGTGATGTTTATGACGAATCTGAAAAAGAAAGAGTCCATGGTATTATCTCCAATTAAATGAATACAATACCATGGATAAACATAGAAATCAGAATAAGCATAAAGAAAAAAATGCGATCAGAGGCAATGATCACCAAATAATTAATATAGAAGGGCTTTCATCAATGTTACAATATCTGCTATATAGTGATAAATATTCTATTTATGTTCTAATAATAATAATAATAGTAGTAGTAGTAGTAATAATAATGAAAAGAAGAGGAAAAAGAACAACAACGAAAATAACAGCAACAACACGATGTTACTAAAAGTGTGGGTTTTACCAATATAACAGTGTACAATATAATTTAAAAGCACATTTGACGGGCGAGAGTGTGCACTGGAGGCGAGTTTGGGAATATATGAAAGAAAACGATAAAAAAAAGTAAAATGCAATAGGTCGCGCTCAGAGCAAAAACATCACACTGTGGAAGTGTTTATATATATATATATATATATATATATATATATAGAGAGAGAGAGAGAGAGAGAGAGAGAGAGAAAGGTGGATCTGGATATGCTAAATAAAGTGAACGCATATATGCATACATACGTACAAATTTATGAATATATAATAGTGTTTATGTATCTATCTATCTATATATATATGTGTGTGTGTGTGTTTGTGTACAAATACTTATACTTAACAATACAAAAATACGTATATATATGTGTACATATATATATACATATATATATATATATATATAGAGAGAGAGAGAGAAAGACAGAGAGAGACAGAGATGGAGGGACAAACCATGAGACTAAGAAGGATTGACATTCATACTTGTCGGAATCTACGTTGATACATTGGTGTATTATCATTTAAATACTAAAATCAGTTGTGTACTCAAGTATATCAACATACAGTAACCTACTATTAATTTGCGCAATAAGTTAATAGAATTTCTTTATTGGATTTTCTTATAACTTTTTTTTTGATAATGTGCTTGTAGATAACGGAGAAGGAATTTTGTTGATATCTTACCCGAGAAGAATAGGTTTGACATGCGCGAAGTATCTGACTATATGCAAATATTGTATTGTCATGTCATATAACACGCACACAAATATATATATATATATATATATATATATATTGTCATCCACAGGCTGTTTCGTTGTATCACAGCTCATCAGTGTGACTAGATCTCCAGTTGCCTCTAGCTAGGATCAAAACCCGACTGAATTGGCGTCAGTCGGGGATTATACCACTAAGCCGTTGGGATGAAGGTGAATTTAAGCGTATTTATTTTTAGATAGACACACAGTGACTGAGAAACTCGATTCGATTTATCGAAGAGTCTTGCATTATTAGCCGTAATATTCACTGTTTACAAACCCACTAGAGGGAGTGTGTGTGCGAGGGAAAGAGAGAAAGAGAGAGAACATGTACCCTCGAATTAATACCTTCTATTTATTAGCACGGAAAGTAAATCAGGAGCGTAATAACATAGTTTTATGCTAAAGACACTATATTTCCGCATTTGGTTGGACATTTTCAGGGCGTATTTCCTATTTTTAATTGAAAGAAATGATAAGCCAACGGGAATAATTTTTTTCGTCTACATACTGACGCCAGTGCGAACACGTATTAACTACCGCCCATATATGGACTCATGCATTGATTGGTCTCTGTCAATATACAGAAGCATTGATAAATATAAATGGGGTATTTTTTTCACGCGTAACACACCATATTTCATGCTCTGTAGTGTCATATCACTTTGCCAGACTGCCACTCATCTATCATTAACAAGGAAAAAACTACTTATTGATGGAAAGATAGATAGATAGAACCCTATAATAAATAGAAACAATTCCTTTCGGGCAAATATCTTACACACACACACACACACACACACACACACACACATATATATATATATATATATAATAATTATAATACTTTTATATATATATATATATATATATATATATAATAATTATAATACTTTTTTGTTTAAAAATATGATTCCTTACTACATAAGAGTTCTCATGTTTCAAAAACGAGAGCCGAAACCATCCAAATAATTATTAAAATTAAGTTGAATTAAGGTGTTTTATATATATATTATATGTGCGTTGTTTGTTTTTGATTTCTTTCGACTGTATA